CACGCTTGTATTTCTGTTAAAATGATGTTCTTATAGGCAATTTTTTCTGCTGAGACATGGTTATAGCATAGTTTACCAACAGGTTTAAGTGTTTCCTGTTAACCACAGCACAATGTTGTTATTGTTTGATGTGTGCCAGCTGGCACTGCAAATGATTCCTCTTATTTACAATTCCTCATGGAAATGTTTTCCCGTTCGGATGGATGCATGTCATAGAAACAGTCAGTAAATGGCTGTGTGTTGTACTTTAATGGAGAAGGTTAAGCAAACCGGACTCACATAACATTAGCTCGTCTAGAAGAGTTTCAGTTGACTGACAGGCCTTGTGAATAATCACTCGAGGGCAGCCCTATAGTACGGTGATATTATACCTTGTCAACAAATTCAATAAAAAAAAAAAAAAAAAAAAAAAAAAAAAAAAAAAAAAACCAAAACCAACAATGTTTTACTCCATCTTTCAACATTTTCTGATGTTCTACTGTGTTTATGACACTTGGTCTGATGTCCACTGATTTCTACCCCATGAGGAGGTATCAAGGTACTTACACTACTGGAGTTACTTTGTTGGTGGATAGCTGCATGTTTTTCAGTACAATTCAAATCTCCAATGAACTCCTCACATTTCTGGCAGTAAAACCCAATCACTGGTGTCAGAAAACCTAATCCTGCAAATGAACAAGAAAAGCAGCAAATCATATGGAGTATTTTATTGTGTGGAAGACAAAGCACAAAATCTAAAAAGAAAACTGTTTTACCATCTTGTCTCAACAATTCCTCCAATTCTTTCATCAAGGATTCCATTTTACTTATTCTGGCTTGCTTCTCTCTCTTCATTTTATCATTTTCCTGGGAAAGACAAGCCACAGTTTCAAAGGGCTTTAGCCATTTTTTAATGTGTCTGACCTTCTCATTCAGATGCTGGTTAGTCAACAACACAACTTGGAAATCATTTACCTTGTGTTCATCAGAGGTCAGAGATGTTCCGCTTCCATCACCTTTAGTCCGCTTCTCCTTTGTCGCTAAAAAAAGAACAAAATTGTGTATAGACTATAACTGTTTAACCAACATACAATGCATTAAACAATAAAGGTAGAGAAGATAAATATCAGGCCAGCTGGTATCACTTTCCAAGTGCCTGGTTACACCTCCATGTTCAGCTGTCAGGAAATCATATCCATGGCAACAGGAGAGAAACAGATCCAAAATAAAGCTGACATATGTTATAATCAGGCCCAAACAGAAACTGCAGATCTTTTTATCCCCACACAGTTTTCTGCTGTTATTTAGGATGTAAATATGTGGTGATTTTTTTTTTTTTTTTTTTTTGCTTGTAATGTAAGAAAATATTCATTTAGATAATGATTTGTTTTCAGTGGGTAGAGCAGTTGTCTCCCAACCGGAGGGTCGGAGGTTCAAATCTCGATGCCTGCAGTCCACATGTCAAAGTGAACCCCCAAGTCGCCCCCAATGGTTAGAGCCATCGGTTGAGTTGGCGCCGCAGATGGTGTAACATACTTGGCCAAATAAAAAATACTACTGGCCGACCACCACAGTTATAAAAATAATAAATAAAAAAAGGTGGGGGGTGGGGGATAACGGTGCATGTTTTCATACAATCTCATAAAGATACAAACTTTGTTAATAGACGTCGTTAACCTGGGTTGTTCACACAGGCTACTGAGGGTAACAGCTCTAGGTGACATGAGAAAATGTCACAGATTGTTGTGTAAAGAATAAAGAAGAGCTAGACAGGGACATGCAACCAGCGAATCAAGTGTGAATGTCAGATTTCTGTCTTTGAAAATGACACGACCATTGTTTTTTGACTCTATGTTAAGTTTTTTTTTTTGCATAGTTCACCGAGTAAAATGTAAGCGTTTGAGGCTCAATCACATTCACAAATATAAAATGACTCAAAAATTCATAATTTCATTATAACAAGAAAGTATAATTTTCTACAGCTATAACTGGGCACTGATTCTTAGCAAACATTACTTGAAACGGAGTACGTAGCACATCTATGGGAATCCTATTCAGTTGTGGATTATTACACATTTTCTTGAAAAATGTCTATTTACCGAAGCAGGGTGGACTGTAACAATATAAACTACAGTTCATCATAATGCAGGAGCATGTCACACAGGACAGGCTGGATCAGTTCACTGTTGGTTTTGTTATGGCATTTATATAATGAGAAATTTTTTTTAAATTAGCTTGTCCAACACTGCATTTATGGCAGCATTTATGAAACAATTCAACTCAACTCCGCCTTTATTTATATAGCACTTAAAAACAACCAAAAGCTGACTGAAGTGCTTTACATTCACCTAGTAAACAAAACAATATGAAAACAAACTGTTAGCATTAAAACACTGACAACATAGAAACACACGTGATCAGCACTTACTGTATAAAACTGATAAAGCTCGACTAGGAGCTGAAAGCCAAAGTAAATAGGCCTTTAGTTTGAATTTAAAGAGAGCAGTGACATCAATAAAGTTGTTCACAATGTGAAGGTATGGTTTCTTAATATAAAAATAGCTATAGCTCAACAAGTCCAATTATTAAGTTGAATCTTTTATTCAATACAGGATTCTCACCTTTGATCAAAGACTGTAGAGACTCAAGAGCTTGCCGTACATTGGGGTTACTCAGTGCTGGCAAGATAACTGCCGTTGGGTCTGAACCAGTAAATGCAGAAGACTGATGCTTCTCCACCTGCTGCCCCTGCATTTTTCCCATGATTTTGTTGAGGTCTGCTGTGCCAAGACTCTTTAAAATGTTCTTGACATTCTCACACTCACTGTTGTTCAGATCTGCAGATGCTAGGCTGGAGGAAGTCATTTGAAGGGACTGCTGCTGACTGCTACAAGCAGAAGCGTCCATTTTCTGCAGTTTGTCATGGTCCCCAATCTGGAAAAATGCTGTGAAAAGGGATGTAGAGGATCTATCGGCTTGCTTTCCTCCACCATCTCCAATCCCATACAAGAATGACTCTTCATCTTCAACCTCATCAGCTTTCTGGATGGTGGAGACCTCTTGACTCTGTGCTTGGAGCCAAGAGAAGTCACTGCCTACTCTGTCATGGGGAAGGAGCATACTGTCGTTATCCAGTGACAGTGAATTCTCCTCACTGTCAAGTTGCTGATGTTTGTGCTCATCCTTCACAGGCCCCACTTGTTTGCTTTCACCAGTGGTCTGTACAGAAAAAAACACAACAACAATGCTCTCAGCGTGGATTAAGGAGAGTGACATTTCCACTGACTCTATAAGGACAGTTCTAATGGGGGCTCATGGGAATATCAAATAGTTCCAAACATTAGGAGCAATGCCATAGTTTTACACTGACTTAGCTGCCACCCTCCATAGTGGTAAGTTGAAATCAAAAGCAATAATTATACTTGACATTTTAAGTTAATGACATATCAATGTTTTACAACCTTTTTGACAGTCTCTCTCAAATACGGTCACTTTAATAGAACAAGTACCTAGCCAACTAGCTAAATTAGCTGAGCTACAGTGGGTACGGAAAGTATTCAGACCCCCTTAAATTTTTCACTCTTTGTTATATTGCAGCCATATGCTAAAACCATTTAAGTTCATTTTTTCCTCATTAATGTACACACAGCACCCCATATTGACAGAAAAACACAGAATTTTTGACATTTTTGCAGACTTATTAAAAAAGAAAAACTGAAATATCACATGGTCATAAGTATTCAGACCCTTTGCTCAGTATTTAGTAGAAGCAGCCTTTTGAGCTAATACAGCCATGAGTCTTTTTAGGAATGATGCAACAAGTTTTTCACACCTGCATTTGGGGATCCTCTGCCATTCCTCCTTGCAGATCCTCTCCAGTTCTGTCAGGTTGGATGGTAAACGTTGGTGGACAGCCATTTTCAGGTCTCTCCAGAGATGCTCAATGGG